CGAGTTCTTCACGTCTAAAAGCATTTAGCATCTCCGTTTCTCATTTATATCGTTTAGTATAGCACCAACCATACGTTAATAATCTCAGGCGTTTTGAAAGAGGCTGTGGTCACCAGAGTAGTAAACGACTCAGTTAAGGCTTTTAGTGGGCAAAGATACGATATTACTGCTTCTCAATGCAATTCGTTTTATAAAGTAGCCATGGAGTTAATTTAGTACAAATTTAAGCGACCTGTGTTAATGGGCAAAATATCCATATTAATGCAGGGGTTTATCAGTGCATTCCTGTCTTCACAGTGTAACAAACTCCACTTTACTTCGATGATAAACTTCAAAATTTCAGCCAAGTCATAACTGAAATATCGAAAAGACCAAAGAAATATGACATGACTTCGCTGTTAAACAATCCTATTCGGACAGCAAATTCCGTTTAATTGGTAACTGCATGCCTTTTTAACGCAATTTTGACAGTTTGAGCGCAAAACAGAGGTGCTGCTTCGCAAATTGGAATGAAAAATAAATGTTATCTTTAAATACTGTCTCAAAGCTGTCATCAAGAACCATCTAGGAGGCTGTATAGTGGTAATCAATCAGTTATTCTAGTGTTTACTGACAAGACGGGAGGAGATGTTGGCTAGCGACTCCTGTTTATCTTTTACTGTCATTAGTCCATTTGTTCACCCCACGCAGCGATCATGAAGAAGTTGGAATTAGATACTGCTCTTTTCTGAGTATAATCAACGTAATATGCTAAACATCTTACAAAAACCAGTCGTGATCAAGTGTTTTGGAAAACAATTCAACTATAACTATGTAGCTAATACAAACTAACTAAAATGCACAAACAGCATATAAATATTATGTTTTATAGACAAATGTAATGGGTCCCTAAGATTTGTCGTGGAAAGAGTTAAACCATAGGTTAATACCTGTGCAATTAAACTCAAGTATGTAAGTTTCTAATAGGGTAAGACGGTTAAGAATTCCAGTAAATTCTTCAGGAATCGATTTCCTTGAAGTACTTCCATATCCTGCCTTAAATTTACCATTCAATGTCGTAAAATGCAAATTCGCTGTGGAAGCGATTATATGGTCTAAAGATTAACCTGACGGCACAAGGAGATTCAAACTAAATTCTCCGCACAATCGTAATAAATCGTTTTAATTTATGCTTGGACTATATAAATTTATGAAAGAAAGGATTGTAATAATAAATGCATGCATTTTGCAAGCGAATTCAAACGTGATACAATGTGAGACTGAATAATCATTTGCTCAGATAACATTGAAGCCACGTCGGATGCTAATATTTCTAACGCTCTCATTTTAGCAGAGTTTACGAAGAAAAAAAGTTTTGGGATTTCAGCTAATCTTGTTGTTCACTTTGAGGCTCTTAAACCGAAGTTGTTGACAAAGAATAAAGCAACAACAACAACAAATTCAGCTTTCACCATATTGATTAGAAGTAATTGCCACAGCTACTTATGTTAATGTATCCAAAACTTTCTGCCCTAGGTGCTGTTGAAAGCAATTTAGCAATATATGCGCAGAAAGTAGTGCAAAACTGTGCAGCAATATTTGTCGTTATTCTGGCAGTCGGCAAAACCTCCTGCAAGCATCAGACACCATCTCCAGTGACAGGGGAAAAAGCAGTGTGACTTCATTGAATTCATTTACGCCAAAAAGTAAAAGACTAACCACCGGCAGATACATCCACCTCTTGGTTTTTCCCCGTCATCTTATCCGCGATTGTACGGGGAGATTATACTTCCCCATATGTGATAAACTGCAGCACACTGGCGTGCGAATAAAACAATTCCGGTCATTTTCAGTCCAAGTTAACAAGGGACAGGGAGCTGAGAATATTCTCAGAGGAGAAAAAGGTGAAGCAATTCGTCAGTCTATCAATATATTATGAGGCAAAATTTCGTTCAAACTGTCATCTGATGGACGTTACGGCTAGCATTTCGTTTGATAATAATTAATTTGGTGCTATTTATTTTTCCATCTGAAACTAGTGATAAGCATAACTTTTAACGGACAAATTCAGTATAGCAGTAATTTGTTTAAAATCAGGATCTATCTAACGGCTGCGCATTGGCAAGTAAGTAGGATTTTGTTTCTTCAAGACTCCCACATGACTCGTATTTTGAAAACTGTGAAAAGTTGACCTTTCGTCATTGAAGTAACTGGTTACAAAATAAACTGGAAGGCAGGCATCCCAAGCAATGTAATTTCAAGGACGCCTTTCCTTGAAATTGGTCACAAGAAGGAAAAAGTCACAGCATACGGAATGGTTTTGATGTTGACTGAAATATCTGAATGCGGTTTTTGATGAAAATAATTTTTGTTGAGTTCGTTAAAGTAACTATAATGAAGAAATTTCTTAGATGAATTATACGTATGAACATACTCGCATGTTCATTAACAGGGTTCTAGAAATCAGTGCAAATAAAAACGTAGAGAATTATAATTTATGTTGTCTGCGTGTTCCACTGTTTATCAAAGTCGAGCATTGTCTACAGTGAGTATGCCGAAGGCATACATAATTTTTCAATTTATAAGGTAATTATGTGCTTAGAGAAAAAATAGAAATAGGCGTTATACTATAAAAAGTGGTCATCCTATATTTTTCATTTTATAAAACTTACCTATTACATCTCTTGAGTTAACAGTTTCAAAGATGCGTATTCTCCTAAGAAATGGTATTGAGAATACTGTTTTACGCCTTCTTTCCACAGCATTTGATTGGTATTTGCGAGAAGCCTCAAAACTATGGGAAAAGAGCCTAACACGTACGCAGTTGTTCGTGTAGCTGACTGCAAAATTCGCATGCGTTTGGAAGACTTCGCAAGCAAAACCCCACATTCTGCTTGGTCACCTCAACCCGAGAACATGCACCTTCCCAACTAAAACTCAAATCGCATTGAAGTGACCTGTCTGTGTCTTAACGCACATTTTGGTCTGTTACTTTCTACTTTCGTTGCATGACAGGTATGATGCACACGCGAACTCGTTCACTCAGTTAAAATGAAAAAAAAACGTTTTAGTCTACTTACGTTTTCAATCTTCTTGGCCTAGCCTTATAAAATATCACCGGTAGTTACCGGTAGTAAGGACCTTTAAGCGTCTTACAATCATTATGACATAACTTCCGTATTGACGCGTAGAATGCAATTGATAATACAAAATTTTGTAAAGTTTTTTTCTGTTAATTTCAGCCTGAATACTTAGTTCACTTCTGCCGCCTCAGCGTTTAAATTCAAAATTAATTTGCCATGCCATATAGCCTTAACAGAAATATAAATTTCTTTGTAACTGAGACACAAAAAGACAGCTGGTTCAAATAAAGCTTGTAATAAAAGAGAGACAGCCTAAATCTAAATTAGCGAGACTCTACTTTAAAAAAAAACAATTTCTCCCTAATTTCTGTTTAAATTCTACACTCACACACTAGATGCTCGAAAGAAGATAGCAAACAATCATGCACAGTAGTAATTCACACAGCAATATGTTCACCTTCAGTCGTGCGAGAACAGTCTCCTGATCAAAATGTCCTCCCAGGGAGGCCTTGTTGGACTCAATGAAGGCGCGCACCGTATCCAGCCAGAAGGAGAGTTTGTTGAGCGCCGTTTCCATGCCCGACTGGATGGAGTGAGCTACCTCACTGGAGGACATCCCTGGTGGCTGCAAACAGGAGGTAGGTAAAACACATGTAAGGTGTATGTATGTGCGAAGAAAAAAAGGGCTGGTTGCGCATCTAATGAAAATGCCACGTCGGTTTGGACTGAAATGAGGTCAGGGCAGTGGCCAATTAGAATCTCCTGAAGTAGATTCTAAAGTTGGCGAACACTGCCAGTGTACAGGTTGTAGCACCCAGAGTGCAGCCTAGACAAAAAAGGATAATATAAATACCTCAAGCTATTCTGAAGGAATGGTTGTGAAGATCCAATAAATCCACCATGTTCTCGTAAGAACGGTTTCTTATCTTGGGGAGACCATGCAGTTCGAGCGGAGACGAAGTACCTCGAACTCATGGGCATTAAAATATGTAAACATCTGTAGTGGAGTCTTTAAACCTAGGACTAGCGCGCATACTGGGAGTCAGGATATCTGTGATCTTATGTCATGATTATTGAAACATTTCCCAGGCTTTTTGCTAATAAGAAGTGTCCATGAGGCACGCTACTTCTGTCAGATTATTGAATTAATAAAGTAGGTTTGCCATAAAACTCTAATCTTTATCTGTTGATGGTAACTTGCATAAAACGCATGAGTGGGAGCAGGTCCGCTATTGTTTATATGGACCGTTCGTGAGATTTGAAAGTGGATAATTCCGAAAGTAGTTTATTGAGCCTGGGAAAATTCTTGAGTGCTAAATCAAAATTTATTAGGGGTAAGGTAGGCTATTAGGCGTCAGGTAATGAAACCGAAATGCCCACTGCCACGGCAAGAATCAATTTGAGTTGTCTATAGGATCTAGTACAGGTGTGCGCAAAGCAACTACTTTGGAGAAACTGGAAGACTTCACCAGACGCTAATTACCAAACACGTGATAGTAGTATGGAGAAATTACGCCGATTCCCAAATCGTGGTTCATTCGGTGAGACCTGGCCACACATTTAAATTTGATTAGAGTTGCAAAAATTCCCATGAGAGAAGTCAGAAGAGTATTTGGAGAGCATAAGTAGTTTTCGATAAATTCTCCTGGAGCCATTACATTTATATTGGGGGGGGGGGTAAAAAAGTAAAATGCAGGCAATTATGTTCATCAGTACAGGTAAATCAGTCATAGGAATAGGGAAGGAGAGGTTGGGATTGGGGTTGGTAGCACTCGGCAATGTGTAGCTCCTGATTTACTTGCTCCTGTGGAGCAGGCTATATCGGTCGCACGAGTCGGCGCTTATCCAAAATAATACGGGAGCACCTCCTGGCATGGCTGAGCAAAGGTGATATCAGAAATATCAACAGCGCCATTCTTGCCCACGTGGCTCACTCCGAATATCGTGTGGACCTCAGCGAAGTCTTTAAGGTACTTTATAAGGTCCCGCCAAGCTACCCAAAGTCTCTGGCTCAGCGTTTGCTAGAAACAGCAGAAGCAACCACGATCCGGTTGAGGAAGCTGGTTCAGTGCGCGCAAAAGAACCCAACTGCAACTTGGCATGGCCAACGATTAAATAACTGCCTGCATCTTGCCGCGCTTTCGCCCCATTCCACT